ACTTTACGATCATGGAACTTTGAAACTTAGGATGGCATGAAAGGTCAGCATGGAATCGTCGCGTGATGAGCTCACTGAAGACTCGATATCGCAATTATGACGCAACCAAAGCCAAGCCAAGGTGTTTTAAAACCAATAGGAAAATGTGTACATAGTCTCGATGGGATGGAGACCCACTGTAGGAGTTAGTCACATAGGTTTGATGATAATTACGATAAAAGAGACGAGCAAAAACTAACGAAATGGCAATGATTCACTTACCTGACTGAAGCGACTAGTGATCTCAATGATTTAGTTGATTGTAGTTCATTCGGCACCTAGACCGATATCTAACGTGTAAGCACATGAAAAATAGATCGACCATACTCGTGACCGAACCCGAATATATGTATTATGCAACGTTCCTGTAAGGATGGATACATTATAAAGGCGGTTTACGTAACATTAAAAAAGGTCGCAATGATATTCGTAAAAGACGTCAAACTGACTTCGCTTGGCTGCTGTTGTTATTTAATAACATATTTTGTATATCCTGTATCTCGGTACAATACACACAATACCTCGAATGAAGTTTGCAATCTACCATAAAGAATTGGATTATCTGGTGTAATAACGCTTGAGCTGATCCAATAATATTTTGAGCCGTTTTATCTGCCTGTCGCCACTGAAACTCACTGACTTCATTATAGTCATCACTGGAGAACACTTCAGCCACTTGATTGTTCTCTCCATGCAGTCACATGATATATATCGAAGCTCTTTAGGCCCAGTCGCATCATGCACTAGTACTTTAGATTTCCCGAGTTACCCTTGCACGAAACTAGAGGTTCAGTTGGACTTGACGCGATTGTATGACTTCGTAATTCCATACAATACCAAATTGAAAAAGAACACGCTTCACGATCGCGCTAAAATAACTGTAGTGTTAAACTTCGCAGCGTCAGCACTATCTCGTCACATTCAAAGCCAGGTGTAAATAGGTCAATAGACCACGGACACGTACGCGACCTCTTCGAAAAATAGAATATTGCATCGGCACGAAGAATACAGTGCAACGCTGTAGGTATTAAACAATGTATCTAATGACCAGCGAATGAAGAATATCCCATATAGAATCGCGCGCTTGAGATCTTGTAATTAACTTCTGATGCAGCCCTAGCGCACCACACTAAGCATCAATGCGCACGTTGAAATGTCAGGACTGCATCCAAACGCTACCATATAAGTATAAATTGCTACATATAAATGTGGTTTGCACATATAATCGAAGTGGTAATCTTATTGTAAAACACTTGTTCAGATCATTTGATCGATGCTAAAAATACGACAGTGCATCGATACCGAGCAAAAATGGTCGGTGAACCGGTGCACAGTCATCAGATCGTCTCAATTATCTGGGATGTGATCTCGAATTCAACTACGTTTACTCAAATGATCTAAACAATATCATTCTTTCGCTTACCTTATCATCACCAACATTCTGACATATTTCAAAAGTCAATCATGTTTCCATTATATTCAACTGATTTGATAAATTGCGCAAATCAATGCATGGAAGTAAAACCTTATATTTTTCATTAACGATTAAGGCGAAGGCCTACTCAGCTTTCAAATCGCGACTAATATATAACTCCCATTATTCAATGCCGGTTTCTTCCCTGGTTTTCAGTCCGCAATAGAAATAGAACATTGATTTTACCATTTTTACTCAAAACTTGGTCCGTTCAATTAGACATGCAATAGTGTCCTCATCAATCGATTAAATACCACATTCACCGTTCGATTCTGACTACTAATGCAAACATTTAGTACTACCCCACTTGTCATTTAATGTCACCTCCCTTACTTCAATTCTTACACATAGTCTAAGAAATCAACCTCGGTATTTTTTGTATACAATTGCTGGTCCCAGACACTATATAATCATACCCTTTAAACTAATATGTTGATTGGGAGATCCTGCGGTATTGCTCGGCTAGCAATTTAAACTGTGACTTTTGATTAGCACAATACAGATGTAACTTATTAACGATGATAACAGTACAAAATTACTTCCATGCACAAATTTAACGATGCAAAATCTGCTTTTCTGTACTAATCAGCCAAAGTGCAAGAATTGGTGTCTCGATGCCTTCGCTCAATCTACTTGTACCCTTGACCTATGTATCTTATTTTTGCGATGATAATGCACTTTCGATTGTACCACGCAATGATGTACCTTAGCCTACAACGGGTTGTGCCTTGTGTGCATGCAATAGCTCGTTATTTGTATCCACATACCTTGTGCCAGATTGCCTTCCAAACAATAGTTTTCAAATAGCGTCTTCGTCGGATAGGCGATCTGTAAGACGCCAAATTGTACGTACAAAGACCTTCCAAATGCCAAATCGCATTCGTCGACCTGTCAGTCAATGAAATAGAACTGGCCAGATAGCCGACCCGTCCTTCTCCAGATCGCACTTCCTTTGATCATTAGTCGTAAGCATGTACTCGTATTTTTATGATCCGATAGCTTCGAGCCTTCGAATGAATCGTTTAGCACAAACGGACGATTATATACCGCGTGAACGATGTCATAAAGATCGACATAGGTTCACATAAGCACAATTAAATCCGACCAGCACTTGCCAATCTACATACTCATAGTCGAATTTGGTCTAGAGTTTCAACGTTTCTTATCGCATCAATTGACACTGCGTACTCCTTAACTTCCCTTCAAGATTTGAAGATGTACTCTACCGTTCGAGGGAGCGAGCGTCCCATACGTAAATGAAAAAATGGGATCAGAGATCCTTCTATTTGGGACTTGCAATGCAAGACGAGCGATCTTCTCGAAGTTAGTTTAGTTCAAAGGTAGGTAATGCTTCCTCGATCGGTCCCCTGATTCAAGCGCCCTCCTTGTTAGCTTATCACTCATGTCTCATTCTCTCTATTTCTACAAACAGTCAATATGATTGTCATTCGTTCTGGTCGAGACTCCGTGTATAGCGCAAGCGCGATCCCGTGCGACCATTAGTATCCCGGTCATTTGACTACTCTTTTCCGTTCAACGATCTGGACCTACGTTTCCCAAGATCACTTTACCATAAATGCAGCTCGTGTGGCATCCCTCGTTTCATGCAGGGAAGGAAAAGTGACGTGATTGTCGTCCGAATCCATTCGTCAACCTCAGATCGGCAAAAGTAGTGGCGCGCCGGCGGACTGAATTGGCTATTTCCCATTTTTACTTTACCACACAAACGTATGTTACATAAACCCCAGGGTGACTTTTCAAAGTGCAAACTTGTTTCCAGAAGCACAAATAGGCTGATCTTCTGCTACGTCTTTCAACGAAACCTCACAGCTCTCGCGCTCGAATATAAGATATGTATGACACGAGAGCTCTAAGCGTGGGGTCTACTCGAACAACAACGCTTGCTCAATCATGACACCACAATTTATGCAGCATCAACGAACAACTGCCTTCTCCCGGTTCCGACTTCTGCTGGTTCATCGGTGCTTGCTCAGCTACTCAAGCTAGCGTTGCTGTCGATGATGTCGAATGACGTCAAATGATGCTTCTGACACTGCAGTCATGGGGTGCGTACCCTCGATGTTTCGAAGCGCCAACGCGCGGAGCATTTGACATTTGACATTTGCGATCTTTGCTCGTTATCGCTTTTGAGCGATCCGCCTGTGCGTGTACATATGCGTGACTTGCGACTGTAAACCGGTCGCATTTAGTGGCCTGCCAAAAGCGTATTCCCTAACGTCCGTCTCTATCGATGATGAGCTGTTTCCAGGTCGCTCTTGACAGTGTGTGTGCGGTAAACTTTGCTTGCTGAAAGGCGCACACATCCACACACTCACACATTCACACACTCGCACATTACACACAAAGTCACGTAGAGTTTAGGTAATCCCCGTACCCAGGTGACTATCAGCTTGACTCTATGGACTCGCAATGAAGGTGCACAAGGGTTCGAAACCATCCAAAGTCAAGTTGCAATGCAGGTATCGAATGATTTGGTGCTTGTACGTGACTCATTGCTGTGTGCGATGCTCTCAAGGGCGAAATGATTAAGATCTCGATGCAATGTCGGTATCGAATTCCTTCCGCCTTCTCGTGTAGGATTTGACGCTCGCTTGTTGCTAACGCTTTGCTTGCCAAAAGACGTCGAACTTGGAACGCTCGAACATACCTTTACATCGTTACGGCCTTGCGCTCATGAACAGCCTTACTTGCTGGACACACAGGGTCGTTATGCAAACTGGCTACGAATCCACGATCATGCTTAATTTGCATGACTAGAGGACGCACGTCGCCAAAGTAGTTGTGTTCGGTCATTTGCGCTCGGTCTGCATGACGGAAAGCCCACGTCACCAAAGTATCGGCCAACACGCTCTACAGCCGCCGGTACATGAGCATAGATAGAGGAGGGTGCCTCCACGTCATGCGGAAAGTCGCATATCACTAGAGATAGTCGTGGGTCTGGCAGATCATCTGCAGCGTACTGTAAACAGTGCACGCTCCCTGCATTGAAGGCAGTGTAGGCAGATGCTCAGCCACCTCAAGGACGGGCGCTGAGGAATCAAATTCAACTAAACGGACACGCTGTGTAGACGATGTCAACACTGCTTTTAGTATGACGAAAGCCTTCCTTCTCAGTACATGTCTTTGAACTACGTTCGTCACATCTATCTACAGATATGACGGCTAACGTTTGCTTGTTACCTATTGTGTTTCCACTACTCATGGGACGTATTGGTGGCTGATACAATGACTTACATCAGCCGATCAGCAAATGTCGAGAATAGTATCGGATTCGACACGATTCCCCCAATTCATATCTGACCTACTGTCACTTTCATGGAACGGGCTTACCCCGTTGCGATGAATCCTTGTAAGCCCCATCCTGCTTGTCCCGATTCGTCACTTCATTGCGTGGCACTTGTTCGACACCTTATTTATTATCGTTGCAACTTTATGGTTCGCCTCCTTCATGTGCTGCAGCAGCCCGCTACGTTCTTTTCGGATTCGCGACTGTTACCACATAGAATCGGGTTCCGTATGACAGGCGGTACGGGTTAAAATCCTGACACGACACAGCAAGCGTTAGTGAACATGGCGAAAGGAGTTGAGCAAGAGAAGTGCGAACACGACATACCTCAGTCGCCTGGAAAGTATCGATAAAGATAATCTCGCCGCAAATGTAAGCAGGCGGCGTTCGATCGCCACCTACACCCAAGATTGCTGCTTGAATCGACTCGTTCGCCAGATAGTAGTTTGGAGCTCCCTCGTTGAACGCCACATACGGAAGCTTGCCACCCTTCAGGAAAAACAATGCCAGTGAGCTGATTTGAAAGCTTCGAAACGATATCCGCTGGTGCTCGACTGGGCCATGCGTAGTAGCTGCAGATGGCTGCTCGCCAACACACTCATGCAAGCTGCTCTCTTCGACATCACTCGCAACAGTGCGGCCAGTCAAGATCTGTGAAGGCGGTAACTCGTCCGAGACGGACAACTTTTCGACGGTGCCAACACTGCCGTTCGCATCATGTGATGATGTCGCTAAGGGCGTTACAGACACGACGTGATACTTGGTACCTTCTCGGAGGCAATACGGGCTCGAATTCTGTGCAAACAATAGCACATGTACGCCGAGATCAATCGCGTGCATATCAAAAACGAAGTGCGATACCGCAAGAGTTCGTACCCCCGTCGTTTCATGGTCTTCGATGTAGACAATGTGTCCAAGAACGTACGGAGGGTTTCTGTGGCAGCATAAGTTCGTGGGTGCATGATCAATACACCATGAGATAATCGAGCTTGACTCACCTATCATCTTTCTTCGATGCTGCGACTGATTCGTCCGACAGGTAATAGTGAGGGCATCCTTCGTGAAATGCAATATAGTCGCCGAACGGAGTGGGTACGAAGAGTGCCACGCTGCCACATGCGAAGCTCTTGTAGCAGATGCCCAGCAGTTCCTCAAGACGATTGTCATCAGTAACCCATTGGCGGCGTTCATCGACCAGCAAGTTGTCATTTTTAGTAGCTGGAAGCACTTCGCGTGCCAGCGTATGTGTGTCTCCTTCGAAATCTGCTTGTGTTAATGTAAACACGGACTCGTGAGCGACTTTGCCGCTCGAGGGAGAAGACGTGTCGATCACAACATCACTAATCTCAACGCTGCAATCAACAGCAGTGCCGCCTGCATCGGCGGCGGACGCATAGTCTTTCATGCGAGGTGTTGCCTGTGGAGCATCGCACATCAACAGCAAATTTAGCATTTCTGCATGTCTTCATTTGCGGCACATTTCTTGCTGTTCATCACCTTCTCGTCCAAATTCACCTTCAGGTCCTGGCCGTCGAGAATCTTCCTACCAACGTCCTCGTATTCGTTTTCCACCATCACGTATTCGTCGCTAAAGGTAGCCCAGTCCTCTGTAGACATGCCGGACAAGTCAGCACGGTCAACAAGACACGCGGAATACGACTACGCACCATATTCAGGTTGCTTTTCGGCAACAAGCGGCTGCTTCGTATCAGAGCTGGTCAAATCTGCATGGTCCGCGTACGTGGCAGCTTCTATCAAATTGGGCAGCGACAAAAATGGCGCGCGGAAGAAATCCTCGAACGAAATTCGCTTGCGTGGGTCTACCCGCAACAGCGCCCCCACCAATTGCTCGCACTCAAGAGACACCGAGACTTTCTTTGGAAACCGAACATGGCCGTGGCGCTCGAAATAGCGATAGATGTTCCGGCGCAATGCCAAGTGGTTCGTTGCGTGGCACTTGTCTACCACAAGAAACGGGTGTTCATTTGCAATCATTTCGTACAGAATGATGCCAACCGACCACAAGTCAGCTTTAGCATCGTAGCTCTTGTACTCCAGCAGTTCAGGCGCCATGTAAAGAGGCGAGCCCACCACACTTTCAGCCATCATCTCCGATCCCAGCTCTCGCGCGAAACCAAAGTCCGCTACATGCACAACACAAAAGGTCAACAGAGATTCGCACATAGAGACTGTCTACCAACTCACCGATTTTCAGCTTCACCGTCGCTACATTGCGCGACGAGAGCAACAAGTTGGCAGGTTTCAAATCACGATGTACCACGTTCTGCGAGCGTAGAAACTGCAGCCCCGACGCTGCAAAAAACAAGGACAACAGCATACCATGAATTCGTTTCATAGCAAGCATGGAGAAAGAAGACGCTTCGGACAGCACACCCAATTGTGACATGTACAGCCGTGCTTGCTCTTCCGCGAGCCCATTGTTCGCCTTCATTAGCTGCGCAATGTCCCCACCAGCACAATACTCCTGTAGTCCAGCACCAAACAAAGCATCCAGTTAGCACCGCACCACTCCTCCTTTTCGATCGATTTTTTTCGGGACCTGCACAATAAAAATGTGATGCTGCGACTCTTTCGTGCACAGCAGCCGCACAATATGCGGATGGCCGTTCTCGAACTGCTCCACAGCCACGCGCATGGTCTCAATCTCCTTTTCGATGCTTTGGAGTTCGTTTGGACGCCGGAGTTTATCTTTGCCAATCATTTTTACAGCCACAGCTGCCCCGGACGACAAATTGATGGCCTTGTGCACCTACATATCCACCAGAATGTCCGTGTCACAAGTCAGCACAGTGCGGTCGTCGATACGCCTCTTCGCTGTCGCGTGTATCTTCGTACTGTGCCGTAAGAACCTCTTCCGATTGTTTCCTCTAAACTGCACCAGTCGTTTACGTCATTCACACCGCATAAACGACGTCAGTAACAGCAAAAACAATGCAATGCACGCGTTTCTGACCGCGTTTCGCAGCAAAAAACGACACAGTAGCTACATGACCGACCGGAAGACGTTGCCGCACACGGTGATCGTCTGTCCGTTGGCGCTTCTCATGCTGCGGTGCAGATACGAACTGCCAGTCGTGCCTCTTCGTTGCGATCGCTCTGTTTGTGTTCTCTCAGGTGGTCAGATAGTCCATATCATGGGCTCCTCATGTCGGTATGCCGTATCGCAGTTTAATGGCAGTGTGGTACACATTAACTACGAGGTGACAGGCACGATGGCTACAATGCAGTTGACCAGTGCCATCAGTCAATCATCAGTCAGTCAGTTAGTCAGTCAATCACTCAGCCCCAATGCATATTGTCGTGGTCAAATCCGTCAATGTCTTGACTATTTGACAACGTAAGCACGAAAAAACAAAGGTACTGCGGTGGGAATTGGCGACATCCATCACGCGTTTCTCCTCCTCGTGTTGCTCGCATGTCTTCGATGTACACCGTGTAGCAGAATGTCGTTTGCCCGCTCTTGATGTAGCAGCTCGACCCGCTGAGCGTCCTTCTGCTTCTTCTAGCAGCTTAGCCTGCATCGCAAGGGCTCGTCGCAGTGCAGCATATGATGAAGAAAAGGACTGCATCGGCACCGTCGTCCGGTCAGGCCACGCTTGGCCAATGAGCACAGGGTCCAAGGTCTCGATCACGTATTCAGACCCGAGCACGCGCTCGGTTTGCAATCAGTCCTTTCACGTCGTGCGTGGTGAGGTCAGACCGTCTCATTGCACATGCGCGAACGAGGCGTCTCATGTACGTGGAATGCACAACAACTGCTATGCAGTCAATGCACACGGACTCCTGACTATGTCTTCTGCAACAAGGCAAGAGAGGCTCGCCAAGTATAGACAGGTTGTGGCCGAACCACAAGGGGTCCCTACACCTTGTCCTCCCACGAGCCTTGTCGCCGAGACGAGGACGTCGCGTGTTGTCGCATTGCGACTCGAGGGATCCTGACCGGTTGTGACAGACTGACTGCCCATCCTCGTTGCTGCCTATCCATCTGTTTATAACGCGCGTGTCAACGACCAACAACGGCCTCGCAAATAGCGTGTGGTCGACTTTATTGTTGAATGTAACGACTCAAAGGTCGTGTCAACGTAGGCACACGCGCGCGCGTGTGTGTCTCTTTTGTGCGCCACTGGCCGGCCGACAGAGCCCGGTCTATACATCGCGGCAAAGCTGGCACCGCCAGGGAAGATGAGGTGCGCCACACGAAAAAGAGCCCAACCGTGTCGCTCAGAGAAACGGTGCGACGACGACGACGACAGCGAATATTCCCGGTCGAGCTTGGCGTCAATTCCCGTGCGCTGCAGTCCGCAGCCTCTGCAATCTATCGACGCCAGATGGCTCGGTCCATCCACGGCGAGGCTCGACCTGTTCTCGATGTTCCGTCGCACCACTGCGCTCCCCAACTCGCCCGACGTTGTGTTCTCCAAACGCAGCCATTGTGGCATTTGATTCGCCACGCGCAACAAGTCGGTCGGTAATCGACCGGTGCCGTCGCTTTTGCACGCAGCCCGTCCAGTTTCCGTCCGTGCCGCGGCATCGATTCAAACTGTCGGGAGCATGGGACAGTCCACGTCCGTCCACGAGGACAAGCGGAAGCAGCGCGCGCGCCGAGTCATTGGCACGTTCATGGACTTTGGAACGCACCTGACGAACGCCAACGAGTGGTGCGTCGTCTGCCGCGCTGACGTCTACACGCCTGCAACGAGAAACCGACCGTGTCTGACCTCTTTTTCCTCTCTCTCTTTCTCGGTTGACTTTCCTCACGCATAGGGCCCAGAGCTGTGCAACGCCCAAGAACTGCTACTTGTCGTTCCGCATCGTCATCGACCGCAACACGTCAGCAGAGCTGCTGCCGTACGTCTGGCGACTCCGCGACAAGGTGGTCGTTGAAGTGCGCAAGATGCGACGGCCGGTCGCGCACTCGCTGGACGCAGCGGCCGTGCGCGACCGGACGTGCGCCGAGACGATTGGCCCGGCCAAGGCGTTGACGGTTGCCCAGTTTTACTACGTGTACTGCTTTCTGGCAGACGTCCAGGCGTGCGCTGCTCACACGGTGCGCTTTCCCGATTCGAGTCAAAGGTACGCTGGGACGATACCGTCTACAGGAGCGAAGAAGAAGAAGAGAGGGCACATGTGGTGTGTCGGTTGTGTGTCGCGTGTGGTCGACACAAGTTGTGTATCACTTGTGTGTCGTTTGTGGACTAATTTGTGTATCGTTTGTGTACCATGTGAATGCAATCCCCACGGACTTGACAGTGCGGAGGACGCGGACTTTGACGAGACCGAGTGCCAGATCTGTATGGACAGGAAGAAACAGGTGGCGCTGCCGTGCGGCCACAGTTTCTGCCTCGGCTGTTTCCAGCACTGGAGCACGCAGAGCCCCACGTGTCCCATCTGCCGCGCGCCGTTCGAGTGCTCGGAAGGCGACGAGTTGTGGCCGCTGACGTCGAACGAAGTGGAAGACCTCGACGCGTACGCAACGGACCTGGTCGCGCGCATCTACGAGTACCTGGACAAGCGCAGCACGTCGAGCCGAACGGAAGCGGACGTCAAGCGGTCTGCGGCGCTCTATACGGCTGCGATTGCTGTGAAGCAGACGCCGCTGCGCAAGTTTGTGCACGCGGACTTGTTCCCGACGGCGCTGCCGCTCGGGTTTCCCTTTGGGCTGCGCAGTGGGGTCCATCTCGCGACGGACATTGACACCGACCTGATGCTCGCGCTCGAAGTGGCGTCGGGCGAAGATCAGCACGCGGCGATGCAGCACTTTGCGCAGGTTCGGCAGGACGAGCGACTTGCACTGGCGATGGCTGGAGAGGAAGAGGCGGGAGAGAGTCCGAACGAGTCGTGACGACAGCGTGGAGAGAGGCGAGAGGGGGAGCCGCTGAGAGCGTCTTTTATTTATCGAGGGGTATGTAATGTAAGAGGTACGACAACGTCGGTGTGAGGTTGTTGTTGCAAGACGCCGACCTGATAACGGATGGACAGGTCGTGGGGGGGATGAAGGCACGATCTGAGGTGGCACTCGCTACTGTGTGTGTGGCATGTGTACAGTAGTAGGCGAATGAGTAGCTGTACGTCTTGAGGATGTGAATGGATTTGAACACGCACAGTTGTTGTAGCCCATGAGCCGTGTGGCGAGTTGTGATGACTGAGGACGGCTCGGTAGACTGCGTCTTTGGGCTGGGTGACTCATATCGCGTCCATATCCACGTGCACTCTCTTCTCCACAACGCACTCGTGACAGAGCTCGCACCAGCACAAGTAGTACCCGGAGCGTCTTTGGCTGCCGTCGATTTGAGTCTGTGATGCTAGCAACGAACTGCAACGTTGAAGTTGCCGGCAACTCGGCCATCAACACACGCCAGTTGGTCGATTGCTTCACTTTATGCTGTTGCACAGGTCTCAGTTTCCACGCGATCGAAACGTCAAGGCTGCTTCGTCAACGTATGCAGTTCGCAGACCTTTTTTTGACACGCTTATGCAACTATCAGTGACCAATGTACAGTGCGCGCGCATTGCACACACTTCCGACCTTTTGCGGATAGCGCGATCACAGAAACGAAAAGCAACGACAGCTCGCAACTTTGTTCCTTGTATACCGACCGACCTGTCCACAGTCAGTCAGTCGTCGAGTCGTCAAGCACCGCATCTTTCCTCTATCCCTCCTTGTCAACATTCACTCTCTCGGCCTACACGTAGAACAGACACAACACCTACGCACGCCCCACGCTATCGTGAACTATGCATGCACAAGCGCTCTTTTCTGCCTATTCCGCCCTTCCCAGCGGTTTTAGTTTCACCCTTTGTCCCGCTCTCACACCATTAGCGCTTCTTGCACTGCTCCTTTATGTTGCTCACATTCACGCCCCATAGTGCTGCCAATGCAATGGGGAACGCCAGCCACGCCAGCGTCGCTGTCTGTGTAGGCAGCTTCGAGTTGGCGGCACGAAACTGCTTCCGCTCCAGGAGGTTCGTCGCCCGTCGGCCAATCGCAGCCGGGGCGACGTGGGACCGCAGGCGGTGGTACTGCGCCGTTGTAAAGCGCTCGTACGAGTTCAGCCCTCCAAACATCTCGTGCACGTCTTGCGAGCTCATGGGTTTGTAGTTGCGGGCCACGTTGACGGCGTCCCGCGTCGCTTCGTCGTCGTTCGACGCGGCAGAGACCCCAAACATGTCCATGTCATACTTGACACGAGCTGCGTCGTCGCTCAGCAAGTCGTACGCAGCATTGATGCGAAGGATCTGGGCGTCCTGTTATCGTGCACGACACAGGATAAGCAGATGGGTCAGGTGGAGTCCAGAAAACAACAAACGAGCTGCGCTGTACACAGTGCTTTTTATATAACGCGCAATACCTACTTTTCCATCCGGACGGGAAGAGCTGCTCGATCGTTTGACGTGCGAGCGATCGGGATGGTGTTCCAGGACTGCATCAACAGCGTCAACGTGAGTAAAGCGGACAAACAAACTCACTCACACACACACACACTATCAACACGACGGCAGTCGACGCACCGAGCTTGCGGTACGCGGCCTTGATGTCGTCTGTAGACGCAGCGCGATCAACGCCCAGTACGTCGTAGTAGTTCGGCTGCAAGTGGTTCTTGCCATGCGACGTCATGGGTACACACTTGTAGCAGGTCTTTGTATTGTGGGCACGTTTTCGCACGAAGAACGCATTTATTGGGTGCTGAACAAAAATAGAGAGGGAGATCGATCGATCGATCGATCGTTAGTCTATTTCTAAACACAACCGCGCACGATCGCAGAAATGGCATCGTCGCAACTGCTTGATTCGAGTCATTTTATCAAACGCAAATGAGCTGTTGTCACTGCTGCTTTACTACCACAAGCACAGCCCCAATCGCAGATCGTGCGAGGCCACAATGCAAAAAAGACTCTGCACGATGTCGGCAAAACCAATCGGTGCGACGCACGGGTCAGTCTCCGTCGAGTGCTTCGATGGGCTTACGCAACACTAACTTCAAAAACGAACTACACACGGAACTCGTCTTGTCGGGACTCGTCCAAGTGGCGCTGCCGCATCACACAGCCACACACACACATATCCGCTTCAGCTCTCGTCCTATGTTTCAAATCCAATCAGTGGGCAATATGCTACGGACCTTGAGGTAAAACTCCAGCTGATCTTTTGTCACGGATGGCACGTCTTCGGACGACGCAGCCGAGAAACGTCCCGCTTGGCTCGCAGTGCTGGTCGAAGACTGCGTGTCGTCGGACAGCGGTTCCCGGTACTTCTCGTGGTTATCCATTCGCGCCCACATCATCATCTGCTTCTGGAACGCACTGTGCACACGATACACAATCCACACTGTGTCAGGGCAACATGACCACATTTACGACTTTTGTGCAAGGCCGAGCAGCATCGCACATGGTCGACTCGTCGCTGTCTTCACGAACAGTGTCAAAGCCTTGAGCTTGCAACGGCCGTCGGTAGCGCTGCCCCGACGACAAAGGCTGTCGACTGGCACGGCCGAACAGCGGGCGCGAGCCTCGTGGAATAAATATAATCTGTTGCACGTGCACGTCACAAAGTGCACAGACATTCGTCAGCGCACCACATGTCATCGGCCATCTCCAGACCCATTGCAGTCGAGATCGAGACAACGTCCCGTCCAGTAGCCAACTTGGCACGACTGTAGTCCCACCTTCATGTCCTCGAAATTCTCGTCTTCCACGCAATACACGTTCACTGCAACGCAGTCTGGCTGTGTACTGTCGAACTGGAAGATGTGGACACCTGTCTTGGTCACGTATCAAGCCAGAAGCCATCGACAGGTCAAATGAGTCGCTCGAACGTGCTCCTCCCGCTCTCAGCTCTTGTCACAGTGCAACGTACCGCACGCGGCACAGAAAACGTGCTGGCACAATGTCGCTTGACTCTCGTACAGCGACACGTCCGACGACTCCATCATCTCAAAGCACGACGTCGGGACCATCTGGCCACCGGCAAACCAAACCACAGAAGCCAATCCATCAGCCAGTCCCCTCTTCCAAGTCAAGACTCTTTCACCACCTCCTCCTCCTGCTTTGCCATCGCATTGTCGACTCACCAGATACGGGAATCGCCCCTTCTTGCACGAAAGCGTATTGCTGTCGTCAAAGGCCTCGACTCGTTTCGGGGCAAGAACCATAAATCTGCCCACAACATCCACGACCAACAAACAAACAAACAAATAAACACAGCAACAGACAAACAATCGGTACAACAGAGTGAGTCTCCTTTGCTCCACTTGGCCACCACTACAGATCCAGTACATTCTCGTTCCGTACCGCAACGAGCCGCAGTCACAGCCTCCTCGGTGCTGGAACAATGGCAACTGGGGCATCCCATACTTTTTCCTATCGTGACCATGAGAGAGAAAAAAAGAGCACATTAGCCGTAGCACAGCACAACGAGTCCGTCAGTGCAATACAAAAAGAAAACAACTGTCTGCGTGTCGACGTACTGGTAGAAAACGTCTTTGCCGCCGCCGTCCAAGTCGCAGCGCTCCCACTTGTCTTGCGAGGTCCGTAGGCTGCGGTATACTTCGCGTAGCTGTTAAAACCAAGGCAATGGAATACATGGATACATAGCAGTATACACACCACACATGAGTACTTAATCGAATATCAGCGCAGCAGTCCACAAGACGGTCGGTCGTGTGGCCTCGTGTATACCATTAGCAGTCCCACGCCCAGTGCCAAAGTAGACAGAGCGCCGATCGCGCGGTCCACTTCGCGCACTATGTTGTTGGTCATTGCAGAGACGCCACCGCACAGCAGCAGTAGCAATCGAACAGACAGAGAGAGGCAGACAGAGAGCAGAGACAAATGTGTCGGTTCACGCCGCTTCGTGTCCGCTCCCAAAACGTTATCTCTTCTTTCGCGTGGGCAGGAGTATACACGCTGCCTTTTTATTTCTCCGTAAAGTACCGGTACGTTGACGAAGTATACATCAAGGGATGACGAGCTACTTACAGGCGGAGGAGCTGAAGACATTTGGAGAGACGACAAAAGTGCCATATGGAAATGAGGAGCAGCTACATTCAGTTGTTGATATATGGTGTTGATATGGATACAGGTCACACTGCTGTTTGCAGCGATGATGACGCCTTTGGGTCGAACGGGGAGCACGTGTCGGGTGGAAAGTCCATGACGAGACCGAAGGGTACTGTCACGGGCTTGTCGTAACTTGGCGTCGAAATGCTCGAGCTTTTGGCCGAGTGTATACCACCACAGGCGACAGCGTCCTGGCCAGATCGATCCGAAGTGCGGTGCAGGTGTCTCGAGCACCAGGCCAAGAGGTAGAACACCAGCACTGTGCCTGCAAAGAGCAGGAACGTCGACACGGGCGAAGCCGTCGAGTGAAAGTTGAACATTTCGTTGCTCGGCTGGTGTCCGCTGATGACCCACAAGAACTGGGTAAAGATCCAGAACACCGGCCACATGAGCACCAGAAACACGTGGTTGGCTTTGAACTGCGGCGCCGTGAAGTAAAAGTCCACGCCCACGATTGCCAGATGCAGCACGTTCCCGAGCACGTGAAGACCCGGCAGTGATATGTGCGAGTACGGCAATGTCACGACCCTAGCAAAACACACAAACAAGCACGAGAAAGCCCGCACGATGAAGTGAGTTACAACGAAAACAACACGAACCAGTGCAAAATATATAGCAGCAGCAGTAGCAGCAACAGTACTTACCAAAAGAAGATGAATGCCACGACGGCAGAGGTAGTGGACCCCTCGCAGAAGACCCAGTCGAGCATCTCCCATGAGCACGCAGACGGCCGTCGGTAGTGCAGCAGAATCCGAGGTCCATTGAACGTCGGCTGATACAGATGCACAGCTGCGATCTACATGCAAAACAACAACGACAACGACGACAACGGCAACAGCAACAACATCAATAATGTGATACAACTTGTCTCCATTTGCATAGTGTCACTGGACATCAGCACAAAAGACCTTTTCAACAAAACACTGTAAATTCTCTTCTTCGTACCCACATGGCGATGACGGAAAATAAGGCCGACATTGGCCCGAACAAGAGCAGCGGTGGCGTCTGTTGTCGCCCATCACTAAATTCACCCTCCCACGCTAACCCCAAACACTGGAAAAAGACACAGCCGATAAATCTAGTCGACACAAACGTGGCACAAAATATGAGCAAACAACAGGACGACCAGTGACCCAAAAAAGAAAAAAAAGAACACATTTTGTAAGCAAGTGAGTTGCCTGTTTGTGTGTGCTCTCCTTATGCCCAAAAAAAGAGCGCCACCAGTTTTCGTACATGCCAAGCGCGCACAACAGCTTCCAGCCGACGCGCTGGTTCCTCGTAAAGTGCGACAACTTGGTATACCGCGTCGTGTGGTACGGGCTCTTGCCTCCGAAGAAGTTGAAACAGTCGTCCCAAGCGTCCAGCCAATCGCCCGATGCTGCCATGACAAGCAATCGCTCGACCACTGGTTGTCTATCTGTCGACCGTGACAAAAATTGGTCCGTTTTGGTCCCCACCTGACGTTATTTTCGGCCACTTTGTGATAAAGCTCTTCTCGTTCGATAATGCCCTTTTTTGCGTCAGATTGTTGCACTAGCTGTCAGCTTCGCTGGCTGGAAAAGTAAAGCTAAAGCCAAAAGTGCTGCCAGCTGCTCCAGTCGCGTCCATTGTTGACGATACTACTGCACATGGTGTCTTTTCATTGCCCCTGTCAAGTCCCGAAGTGAGGAGCAGTGCCCATTTGGACTTTCGATGTTTGCGCTCCTGTTCTTTTTCCAACTCTTTTTCCACCTGAGCAAAAACCGCTGGAACATTGCGAGCCAACGCGTCTCGAAACAAGTTGCGGAGCTCTTGACGTTGTTCCACGGGACACCCTGACACTTGATCGGGCTTTTCAGTGAAGAAAGCCAGTACGCTCTTGACATTGCAAGCGCCCACAAAGTTCTGCGTCACTGCAATACTCTCGTCAATGTTCAGGACCGCGTGCCACCACCCGTGTGGTACAAACATGACTTCGCCTTCTCGACAGATCCCTTCGAGCGGCTTCAAGTGCGCCGGTAGCTTCTGACACGTGCTGTAAAACGTCATGAACCACTCCATGAGGGACACTGGGGCAGACACTTCACTACCGTCGTCACTCGGGTGGATGCCGGGCGGGACTTGGCCAGGCGGGAACATGATCCACTTCTTGCGGCCGCGAACCACACCGTTCCACGCGTTCGTTGCGTTCGGGTCAATGTGGAAACTCGAGCCCGATCTCGCGGGCCCGATAATGAGCCAGCGGTAGTCCGGCCGTCGCTCGTCGCCAAGATGAGCAAAGTAGTCGTCTCGAAAGTACTTGGGCACCGTATAGTCTTGAGCCAGCTGCGGCGCCTTGGCAGCAAACTGCTTGTCAAAGATAAACAGCGGTTGGTCGTCCTGTAACGTACGTGCGTAGTTGAGATACTCTCCCAGAGGGAACTCAAACCCGCCCGCGTCGAATGTTGTGCTGCGACAGACGTCCACTAGGTACTCGTCGGTCCACTTGGTCATTGCCGGCCAGTCGTCGATCGCATCCGTGATAATAACTGGCACATTTGGACGCTCGAACTCGTGTCGAAAGGCTTCGAGCGTCAGGTCGTTCGCACTGCGACGTGCCACGTTCTCCACGGCCAACCACGTCTCTTCGATCGGTGTAGCTGCACAGTAAAACGACTGGAACAGCAGGTCGGAGTACATGCCCTGCACACAGATCGGTGCACCAAGTCGCACGTTGTCGCCGTACTTGGACTTCAGGTACGTAGCTTTCCACGTCGACTCGGGCTGGAAGCGAGCACCCAATTCTTCGAGCACCAGCACTCGCCATAGCTCGTCGTGCGTGGCAAACACATAGGCAGCGCGACTGCAAGCTGCCAAGTGTGCCAAGTCAGCCGCTGAGCAGTGGTGCAAGACGGACAGTATCTGATTATCCGGAAACATCGCGAGACGTCCTAAACCGGTTGCTCGACAGTCCACAACGCCATTGACAGCGTCGGCAAAGTAGTTGCCAATGGGCTTTACGCCCAGTGGATGCGCGAGACACCTTTGGCGATTGCAAGTGGACTTGTTGTCGTTGGCAGCAGGTGGTGCGGCATCCGGTGCAATTTTGACACGTTTGGGTGCATTTCGACCGCTGGTATCGTCGTCGTCGGCCATTGGTTTGGTGACCGACTCGGACACACACACATAGCGGAGGATTTGCGTCTCGCACGTGTCTGTGTGACACACACGAAAGAGTGGCTCGAGCTGCGTAACTTACGAATAAAATACCGACGACTCGGACAAGAGACGGGGGGAGGGGACGCAAGTCGGACGATGGTTTCCACGTCCATCGAATGGATATTGACGTCAGGAATTCTCTTTATAGGAAAGTCCGTCTTCTTCGTGCCTTTGTCAACAAAAGTCCGCGTCAATGCCTCTTGTTCAAGTTGCAACACGGGCCTTACACCCTTCTGCAAACTTTCGATATCGATTTCATAGTCACCACCTACAAACTCATGGACGGAGCCACACACACACACACGTCCATCACGTCAGACTTGTGGTCGGTAGACGACTACAAACGACGTCACCTCGTTGCACGAGGCCCATTCACTTAATGCCGTGATCGAGGCAGTTGAGCCCGTTGCACTCCTCAGCTTCACCGGTAGTGCCGCCCTACTCAAGGAAGATCGAGAGGATCGCATTGGTGTAGGAAGTCGGTCGTTGCGTCGACGTCCAGGCTCGAATCATTGCAACCTAAGAGACTGAGAGCAGCCGAGGGATTACCAACGTGGTGGAGAAGTAACGGCCGAGATAGTGCGTCTCGTCACTCGCGCTTCGGAGATGCACTGCCCCGTTGAGCTACAACTGTTTGTAACATTGAATATATCGGACAGACTCGACACGTTCACTTGCTCGCATTCAGTCGATCGCCACAGACGACGATGGTGACTCATGCTACATGCAGCATATGATGCTAAGCGATCAGCGATCAGCGATCGAGCGCGGCGCTCTACAGCTGGCATTGCTTTGCATTTCGGACCGAAAAGCCAACCGACAAAGCAGCTCACGCGGCACAGCCGTTCTGGCCAATGCCTTCGCTTTTCCGATCGCCACACGGGCTGTCCCGTTGCCTCGTGGCAGCCAGAAAAGAAAAAAACAGGTCCCAAGAGCGACCGTCGTCAAACCCCATCCAACGTCTGTGTCCGTATGTCTTTATGTCCCTTCCCACCCCACTCCGATACAAATGCATACACTACACACACACACATACATACAAAAGACAGCATCCAGTCCCCCACCCCCACCCCGTCCTTTCTCGCCGGTCAAAAGCGACAGGACCGACCGACCACAATAGACTGACACACCCGTCGCGCATGTCGACCCATTCTGGCCGGCCCGACCGACGGGTGGTGCCGGCAGGAGCTCGACGGTGATTGGCTGCCCGCGCACCCGCCGCCCGCCCCCATTCGCTCGCTCGTCTCCCCCTTTTCCGCCACTCGCATCGCCTCATCGCTGTCATTCGTCAACTCGACTGCAAACGCCCTCACAACGTTTCCAGTGGACCCGACCGGACGTCTCTCCCTTCTCTCTCTCTCTCTCTCTCTCTCTCTCTCTCTCTCTCTCTCTCTCTCTCTCTCTCTCTCTCTCTCTCCCCCGTCTCCCATCGGTCCTTCGTCGATACCCCCTGCCTTAGTATGCGCGAGATCCTGTCGATCCACCTCGGCCAGGGCGGCATTCAGGTCGGCAACGCCTGTTGGGAGCTCTACTGCCTCGAGCACGGGATCCAACCGGACGGACAGCTCCCGCGCGACGCGAGCGCCGTGGGCGACGACTCGTTCTCGACGTTCTTTTCGGAAACCGGGGCGGGCAAACACGTGCCGCGCGCGGTGTTTGTGGACTTGGAGCCCACGGTCTGCGACGAGGTCCGCACCGGTACGTACCGCCAGTTGTACCACCCCGAGCAGATCATTTCCGGCAAAGAAGACGCAGCGAACAACTACGCGCGCGGCCACTACACGATCGGCAAAGAAGTCGTCGACCTCGTGCTCGACCGCGTGCGGAAACTCGCCGACGCCTGCACGGGGCTCCAGGGCTTTATGGTGTTTAACGCCGTCGGCGGCGGCACTGGCTCGGGCCTCGGCTCGCTGCTGCTCGAGCGGCTCTCGGTCGACTATGGCCGCAAGAGCAAACTCGGGTTCACCATTTACCCCTCGCCGCTCGTGTCGTCGGCGGTCGTCGAGCCGTACAATTCCGTGCTCTCGACGCACGCGCTGCTCGAGCACACGGACGTGGCCATTATGCTCGACAACGAAGCCATCTACGACATTTGCCGGCGCTCGCTCGACATTGAGCGCCCCACGTACGCGAACTTGAACCGCCTCATTGCCCAAGTGATTTCGTCGCTCACGACGTCGCTGCGCTTTGACGGCTCGCTGAACGTCGACATTACCGAGTTCCAGACCAACTTGGTGCCCTACCCGCGCATCCACTTTATGCTGAGCTCCTACGCGCCCGTGATCTCAGCCGAGAAGGCGTTCCACGAACAGCTGTCGGTGGCCGAGATCACCAACAGCGCGTTCGAACCCACGTCGATGATGGCCAAGTGTGACCCGCGGCACGGCAAGTACATGGCCACGTGCCTCATGTACCGCGGCGACGTGGTCCCGAAAGACGTGAACGCGGCCGTGGCGACCATCAAGACGAAGCGCACGATCCAGTTTGTCGACTGGTGCCCCACGGGGTTCAAGTGCGGCATCAACTACCAGCCGCCGTCGGTCGTGCCGGGCGGCGATCTCGCGCGCGTGCAGCGCGCTGTGGCCATGATCTCGAACACGAGCGCTATTGCTGAAGTGTTTTCCCGCATTGACCACAAGTTTGACCTCATGTACGCCAAGCGCGCCTTCGTGCACTGGTTTGTGGGCGAAGGTATGGAAGAAGGGGAGTTTTCCGAAGCGCGTGAAGATTTGGCGGCGCTCGAGAAGGACTACGAGGAGGTGTCGGCCGAGACGGCCGATGGCGAAGGCGAAGACGAGGAATTTGGCGAAGAGTACTAAGTGGCTCGAGAGCTGCCCTGGAGTGAATGGAGCAGCTGAGTAGTGCTCCCATGCAGACGTTTGGCTGCTGTCTGTGTGCAGATTAGCTTCTAAAATCGCACGTTTTTTCAGCTAAAGAGGTGGTGTTTGTAGGATACGGATGTCCTGGAGCCTCATGCCACGTCAGAAGTCATCAAGCGATCTGACGATGCACTGTATCACCTGTTGGCACTGTACGAGTAGTCGATCGATCGATCGATTGCGATCAAGTAAGTACCGCCTTACCTCTTTGTCTTTTGGTGTGGCTATATGACCGCCTGACTACGATACGGTTGAACCGAAGACGATGCGAAGGTGTTCGTTGCGATGTGGGACGGTGCGTTGGTTTGCCACCTTTTCGCGTTGCACCATATCGGATGTCCATTGCGGGATTCGCTTTGCTTACGAGTGAGGGAGGCACAAGTGGGTCGCGAAGATGGCCGTGCTGTTCGATATGTACTACGAGGACTATGAGCAGGCCGAACAGGCAGCTCGGAAGTCCATGGACGAGTACGCACGGGCTTCGGATTCCGGTACGCTGGACAAGCTCAATGGGTTTTCACCATTCGGTTGCGCTGAGGAATTGTGTTGCGATGTGTTGTGGCGCTTAGCCATGTGCAAGCGATTCGCTGCGATTGCCCGAAACAGCATTGACGAAGTCGAACGATACGTATGAGGAATGTGTGACTTGAGAGCTCTTGATGCCAAACGAGTTGACGGTGACCGTGTCGACAGTTTCGCGTGCTGGAAACGGAGGCAAAGAACGGGTCGTCAATCACGGAGAAAAGAAAAATGATGGAGCAGGTGCGTCAATGCCGAGCGAAATTGGACGCGTTGAAGCTGTCGTTCACGAAGGAGGGGGTCGTGAAAACTACCCGAGCGAGGAAGTCACCCGAGCGATTGACCGATGGAACTTCTACCGTACGTTTTCGTGTGACTGACTGGTCAGTCACTTGTGTGCTGCGCCAACGAATGCGCTAACGTGTCTGATGGGTATACAAACGTTGTGTTTGTGATCGTCCAGAACGAGCAGCTGGCGGGTTGCACCGAGTGCATCGACAGGTTTGTCGTATCGAGAGGATGTGGTGAAGCTACGACACGCTAACACTGCATGTTGCTAGAACTGGGCGTCATTTGGATGCAGCACAACGTACGCTCGTCCACACGGAAGCGATCGGTACGAGACGTTGTGTAATGATACGGCTGTCTTTCTTGTCGGTTGAGCTCATTTCGTATGTGGCAAACTGACACGCGTTGCAGCGGCGAACGTTGCCAACAATTTGCTTGAGCAGCACAATCAATTGGAACGCACCGAAGCGAATGTGCGTTCCCCATTGGCGACAAGCGCGCAGATGTGATGAAAGTCCATCTCATACCCATAGCTTTGTTCCTTTTGCACACGGCACACACGCAGGTCACTCAAGCGCAAGATGATACCAAGGAGGCAAAGCGTCACCTTGGGTCGATGGCGTTCAAAGCGTGCACGAGTCGAGTGTTGCTGCTTGTGGTGATGTTGGCCCTCGTGGTCGCTATCGTCCTGGTCTCGTACTACAAATGGTACCCACGCGATCAGAAGGACTACCTAGGCATATTACCCAACTCGACCACCTCGGGCTCCGGTAGCGGTGTACCTGCGAAGTGAAACGATGATGAAGGAGAGCATGCAAGCGATATCGTCAGGTGATCAGAAGAGCAGTGAAACCAAGTGCGTTCACTATTTCCACCCACAGCAAACATGCAGACATGATGAGCGAAGGCAGCTTGCTCGACTGCAACTAGCATGGGGCTCTGGTTATCTGCAATCATCAAAGTTTGTTCGAAGAACTTCTGTCGCTTGCACCTCCACATCTGTTGCGTTGACCTCTACGCTCGTCATCCGGATCATCGCTCCTTTTTGGCTCAGGTGATGTGCATACCAATGAGGTATCACAACCCGTGCAATCGAAGTCACGACGGATCACTAGTCGTGCGCTTTTTCGCCAAAGCGCATTGACAAAGACTTCGGGCGGAAGTGGCGGTAGTGTCCACCACGATAGAACCAGCAGAGCTGTCGTAGGGAGCAGAGAATCACAGCGCCGTGTGGTCAGCTTCGTCTTGACCCTTGCGCGTCATCAGTGTGTGTGCTTACTTGTGAGATGCTCAGCATTGAGAGGTTCACTGGCAGTCAACGCATCAATTGACTCCTGACGGATGATGACAATACGAATGGGTCGAGTGTGTTGTAGCTCCTGGTGTACGGTCATGAAGACCGTTTGGTGGTGGTGAGCTCACATCACGGCACCAGTGCGCTTGTTGTCCGTGACCATTCCTGGAATACGTCGAGCGGGGAGTAGACACCACGCCGGACGTGATCCCTTGTCGATCCGCTGCAACAGGTGCCACATTCCAGTCGGTCCGCCGTTTTGGATCTCGCACTCCCCCAACTTGCCACCTCTTCCATCGCCGCGTCTTCGATCAGCGTAGAACCGGATCCCTCGTATCCTCTTTGATGTAATTGAGAAGCTCCAAACCGACATGGGCTCTGGACACAGAGCCAGCCAGTCGATCTTGCCTCCTGCTTCAGCTCTCTATCCAATGCCTCGATCGCCTTCGATCCGTCTTCGTGCTTCTCCCTGCGTCTGGCGGCAAAACATCTTGTTGGTAGTCTGAAGATCAGCAACATTCGGGTCGGGTTCTTGTCCTGTTCCGGGCATACTTGGCTTAGTGTGGAGTAGTGAGCGATGTCCTGTTGTTTTGCTACAGTCGACTCTTGAGCCACTTCAATTGAGATGCCTTGTGCAATTACCGCAGTGAAGTCCGATGAGTCTGAGCTCCGCTAGGCAGGTTGTTGACATCTCCGTCTATTCATTCCATAGCTTATAGTGACGTAGCCGATCTCTACGGACGTACCGACTACTCCTCACATGATTTTCGTCAACCGACAAAGCAGAACGGGACTTCCGAGTTGACATCCACTTGTACACATGTGCCATCCAACAAGTCTTCCTTCCAGACAGCTTTCCGTTCAGCTGACTGAAAACGTCGCCTTTGACGGTAATTGCTGTGTCTCACTTGTCAACAGCGCTCGCAATCTCGATTTCTCGTCCTGAAAAGAACAGGCTGAACCCAGCAGACATCTCCGTTTGCAGCACATCACGTCACGTTGCAAGCAGAATCGCACGCACTTACGTTATCGGCTCGCCAGGCGATACGTGTTGTCATGTTGCAGGTCTCCCAGCTCTGCCGCTTCTTGCCTCATATCGCTTGCTCTTGACGATTGGCGTTCAGAGGTACCTGCAGGTGACAAAACACTCAGTCGATTAGATCACAACCATGATACGCGTTCATGAGATACCACACTATCACATGGCACATCGAGATATCAAACGCAGACACTGCAATGAAAGTGCCACAGTTTGCGGTGAACAACAAACACACGTTTCGAATGTGCGCTCACGCTGTTCGCAAACGTTATATTAACCGCAATGAATCACATTGCTTGCTCGTTGCAGGCTGAGATACCCTCCCGTTCTAGTCACCGCAACTGCAACGGGTCCGTGATCAGCTGGGTGTTCAATACTTGTAATTCGCGGCCGATTTTCGAGATAGTGGCCAGATGATGAGGCAGTGGCGATTGCCTTTCCATTGTAATTGGGTGCATCGTCAAGTACGACTGTGCGTGAAAGTCTCGCAAAACAGCAGTCATCGTGCTCGCAGGCACCAATCCTGTCCTTTTGCCGTCTTTGGAATCAGCACTCTCTTCCAGCAATGCAAGCACGAGCGTCACTTTCAGCACCCTCGCTTCTCGTTTTCGGGCAAGTGTGTGCTGACCATGAAGCAAAGAAGTGGACTTCCAAGCATCGTTGCCCGTATAAATTACAGCACGGCTACTGTGGCAAAAGCCAGTACTCTCTGGAGGAGGCATGACGACGAATCCCACATTGTCAGAAACGTACAAAGCTGTAGACGATGGATCCTCACGCAATTGCACCTCCTCCTGCGATGCTGCAGCAAGCTGCAGAAGCAGAACACACGAAAGAAGAGGCTTGAATATCGGAGGTATCACCTCCTCTAGACGGTCGGACCGTAAAGCCTCCCATGCCGCTTCCTCTTGCTCATCGAAGCGTGATGCCCCAGCCACGCTCGTCAGGCGCGTGACTACAAGTATGCTTTTCTCACCGAAGAGTGCAAGAAAATGCAGCATCTTCAGCATCATCTCAATCAAAGCGCTTTCGAGGCCGCTTCCATTCTCAGCATTTCCTACAGGAATCGTATGTGTCTCAAGAACAGAGCCGACGGCGTCTGTGAAGCTGCACGCGACCCATTTGCGGTCCTCAGAGAGTAAGTATCCACCATAAATATACGGCGGACTCGATTGACACTCCTGGTTTTCCTCGGCCATGCCTGCTCGCCAATCAGCCAGGTGATACAAGCGCTCACAAAGGAACCGAGATCGACCGACGCCTCGAGCAACACCGTCGACTGGCTTCAAGTTCAAGTTTTCATACACCCGGTCGTATAGACCAAAACAGTTCGGCATCAGCACGTATGGACTCGGATTCATTTCTACTTCATACAAGTCATCCAGGTACACCATCTCTATCGTCACACTGTCTTTCCAGTTGCTTACATCGGCAAAGCTTTCAGTGCCAAATAAGCCGTGTGAAAATGCTCCTAACGTCCACATTTTGTGCTTTACGTCAGATCGGCGAAACGGGACCACCAGGTACACCACACTGGCCACAGCCGATCGTGAAAAAGCCTGCGCTTTTTTCGTCGCACCTGACGATAACATGGGATTCAACAGCTGTCCGGCTGCACGAAAGTTAGCGAAAGGATCCAATGTACTATCGGCGCAGTCGACGAGCAGCAGTCCATTGGTAGCATCAACGCGCGTATAATGATTCCCTTCCACTTGGCTCATATCGACGGGAACCAAGTCGCCCATATGACACTGCGCATACATGCTGCGGAAGCAGGTGAAATAAGATAGTGCGAGAGATGCGAGCCACTGTGATGGAGACTGCGGGCAAACAATCACGTAATCTACAGACTTGGCCGCCGCTACGGGATGCAAATCCCGCAATAAATATTCCGAAATAATAGCGGGTTTGACATGGTAGCTCGACTCCAGCTTGGAGACACATAATTTCGGTTCTTCCTCCAACTGGACGCACTCGATACAGTTGGGCCCAGCAGCCGACTTCGTCTCGGCCTCGACGTAGTCCTTAAAATTCATCCAGCGTCGGTCACGCCTCGTTTTTCGCGTTTCCAAGCCATTTCTTTCTTCCTTTTTCAACAGCAGCATTAGACTTTGTAAATAAGGCTGCACGCGGCTCACCATATCGCTCTTTTCGAACGCATTAGCCGTAGCCGTCTCAAGATTCAAGTGCGTAGACCACGCCTTGATTCCATGTGGCTCTTGCCTCCAAGCAACCATCGCGTCCGAAGCTGCCATTTGGATGCCTAGTGATATCTCGCCATCTCGTACTTTCGTCTGCGCATGACTGCTTCTCATTTTTACTGCATCTTTGTGCACGTGCTCTTCGAATGCAACTTCGTCAAAGTCAAGAAGAAGTCGCCGTTGCTGTTCCATCTTTTGTTGGCGACCACTTCTCGGGTACTGCAGCTTTGTGTACGTAGACCGACAGGGGTCAAAGCGATCGGAGCACAATCCCAGACGCAACTGGTGAGTCGTTGCATGGTTGATTGATAGGCGACCCAGCGTCGCTTGGAGTGGGGATGGAATGAACGCCTTCGCATTTGCCAAAAACTTGACTTTTGTCGACATGCTTGACGTCAACTTTTGCTCAACGTTCATCTGACCGCCTTGATCAATGTAGTCTTGTAGTGCCTGAAGCATGGGATGCGTCTTGACAGGCCGACCGTCCAGCGCCTCCTGTTGTTCGCTATGAGACAGGGATTCCACAAGTGATACAGCCACACTTAGAGGCTTGACATCACTTTTTGGCCTAGCAAACGTCGGTCCAACTTTGGATAGAGACATTCTAGCCATAGAGAAAAGTTGCGCAGGATCCAGTGCAGGCCCCTTTACACCATTAGTATTATACACCAAAGCCTTTGATATCGAACTGGGACCGGCACCATTAGTTACAATTGGTCCAAACGTCACTGAGAACCCCGCCCCGTCCTTCATTCCTTCCGCATTATGCCCTCTACGTCGCCGCTTAAAATGCCTGACATCAGCATCTACTTGCGCATGTCGCTCATCGTCGTGGGGTAGCGTCATTTGAATAATCGGACCACTTGCATCGGGTGTATTGATGTGAGTATCTGGAGACACGGGTGCATACAACTCGTCGTTTTCCGCAGAATCAGCACTACCATGCTTCTTGTTTGCTTTTGCTACTTCCCCATTTACAGATCGGTGAGGCAACTCGTCCGTTTCCACATCCGCCTCCTGATTGTTTTCATCTTCGTCCTCATCCGCATCGTCTTCATTTTCATCTTTACCTTCCTCGTCATCTCCACCGCCGCCGCCCTCCTCCAATCTACGCTTATGTCTCCGTTTCGATACTTGGCGAAACCAAGGTGTCACGTCAGTGTACTTTGTCCCAGCAATAACCCGCGGTACCAAGCTGTCCTTCTGATGCCAAACGTCCACGACCGAGTGGTCCTTCTGCGATGGCAAACCTACAAGTCGTTCCCACGAACACCTCGAGTCGCCTACTTCCTCGCCAATCGCACCATCCGGTACCACCGCACCTTCCCTCCTCACTACATCCAGCGTAACAGCCAACAAATTGCTTGGATGAAACAGTCGGAAGTGCAACTGGAACGCCGGCGTCGGACACGCTTCCTCCAGGTAAACCTCCACGTCATTCAGTCGCGTTAGCGACGGACAGCGAAAGATAAACTTGGCCTCATTCGGCTCGTATAGGCCCTCTTTACTAAGCACAAACTCCTCTTGAGCCAGTAGCTTCCTGCCAAGCACCGATGCTAGTGCTGCAAAAAACAGCTTCTGGATTGCAGGATCAAGCGGCTTGGACGTCTCTGTCCAGCACCCAGTCTGTGACTCCCAGACGCCCTTAGGCAGTTCAGCTGGGGCGCCGCTTCGCATGCCATTGGACGTAAACACCCAGAGCTCTGTCGAGCTGCTACAGGACAAAGAAGAAAAAGACGACGACGACGACGACGACGACGTGCTATCTGTTGGCGTGTCCAGGAGGACACAGACAGCGTTTCGCAGCTGCAGACGCTGGTAAAAGAGGTTCAGGGCCGTGTCGTTGTCCGTCTGGTCTGCACCAGCGCTGTCTAACGTGCTCTTCAAGACCGTCTGCCTGCTCACGTTCGTGTCGTCGACTACTGGTGCACTGACATACACGTGCCACTCGAGCGACACCACGTCGCACTGATATAAGGTATGAGGTGCATGGAAGAGGCGTTAGTGGGTGGCGCAGGTGCCGACCAATTTAAAGAGACCCACATACACACACAAACACACACACACGTACGAGCACAAAGGTGTTGGTCAGGAGCGTCGGGGCGGACGCCGGTCGCTCCATGGCCAGCGACGAGGCGTTGAGGCCGACGGACGACACTCGCAGAGACACAGACGCGCACCGTCTCACTGAGCAGAGGCCGCGACGGCGCCGGAAGCTGTGAGTATCGGAAGGCAAAGAGGCCACGCACGGGTCGCGTCTGCACCGGTGTTTGGGTGGGCACGCACCCGACAAATGCGTTTTGGATCAGTTTCGAGAGGTATGCGATATGAGAGGCCTCTCGCCCGTGTGGTGTGGTGTTTCAGTGGCGAAAAGACCACACAGCGCGAACGATATGTGCTTAACATGGCTACACATCGCACGGTGCGTCCAGAACTGCATTTGAATCGAATCGCAGTTTATGTAAGCGCCGGTGCTTTGGTTGGCTGCCAACAGCTCCTCGCGTGGACATGACGGATGGATGGATCGATCAATGCATCATCACGTGGGCAACACGTCACTTTGTGTGTAGCTAGGCAGCATGTTGTACAATACTTGACTGCAGGTTAGTGTGCTAGAATGAACATTTGCTGACTGCCTCTGTGTACGCAAAGCAACTCGCTGTTGGCAGCGAGTCAATGGCAACGTGTGTGGCAATGAGGAAACGGTCACTGATGTCGAGGAGCGTTGTCAAAACGACTGCAATAGGAACGGATCATGGTAGTTGTGGAGAAGATCATGACAGGAGCGGTCCAGATATCATAAAATCTTCGAGGCTTATGGGCATCAGCTGCCTAATTTGACGATCTGAGCTACAAATACCGATCTCGAGTGCATTATTGCAGCGATGTCTAGATACTGGTGTTTTACTATCAACTAAACGTACAGTAGGATGTGCAGCATTGCCACCCACCGATTCTTTTCCTCCAACAAAGGGGCTCAAAGCTCGACAGAGAGGAGTTTGCTGGATGTCAAACGTGGAGTACTCGAGAGTGCACACTGATAAACTAGGAACCTTTTCGTCACGAGCTGTTGCATTCCACATGTGGTAACTGATCATTGTGTTGGTTACCAAAGGCAGTATTTGCGTATGAGCACTGAGACGAAAAAGAGAGCAAAGAGAAGAGCTCAAAATGTACGAACGACCTTATGCTGACGGCATTATGACATGTAGCAACGAAACCGACTTAAGCCTTCTGCATCGTCGCCTCAATCTCTTCGACTTTCCTCGGCACTTCGCTCATGCACTCAATGCCTGTTGCAGTCACGACAATATTCGACTCGATTCGCACACCACCAGTGCCGCGGAAGCGAGACAGCATTTCCTGGTTGATAAACTTGGCAGTGACGGGGTTCGCTAGAACCGCTTGAATCTGAGCCTCGATAAAGTAGCAGCCAGGCTCGACTGTGAGCACCATGTTCTTCGCCAGATTACGCACGCAACGCAGCTTGGCCAAGATTTTCTTCGTTGAACGGACGTAGCCAATGGGAATGCCACCCACATCGTGGGTGTCCAGACCCATCAAGTGGCCGAGACCGTGCGGGTAGAAGTAAGCCGAGATCTCGTGGTCCATCAACTCGTCGACTGTCCCGTTCTGGAACAGGCCGTGCTCGAGCAGATGTTGCGTGAGCACGCGGTGCGATAGCAAGTGCATGTCGACATAGCTGACGCCCGGCTTGATGGCAGCCAGCACGGCATCGTGTGCTTTCAGCACACCTTCATAGACCATGCGCTGGTCCGCGGAAAAGGCGCCATTGACCGGCCACGTGCACGTAATGTCCGAAGTATATCCATGCAGCTCGCCACCCATATCGTTGAGAAACATGTCGCCGTCCTCCAGCAGCTTGTCGTTCGGTGCACCAGCGTGTCCATAGTGCAAGGCCGAGGCATTGTGGCCGCTACCACAGATACACGTGTAAGCGTGGAAGCGTGCACCGCCATTGCTGTACACGTAGTGGAGGAAGTCGCCCTCGGCGTGGAACTCCATCTTGCCGGGGCGAATGCGCTTCATGACATGGATGTGCGCACGGGACGACAGCTTGTTGACAAAGCGCAAGAGCTCTAGCTCCTTCTCCGTCTTGATCACGCGACACTCGACGAGCACCGGGTGCAAGGCCTCCTTGTCCACGTCAAACGCGTCGATCCCGTCAAACGTCGACGTCGTTGTTGTCTCGAGGCCACTGTCCGTGTTCCTGCCATGCAGCACGTAGAGCTTCTTGGCCTGCAGCTCGGTCGTCAGCACGGCTTCCAGCTCGTCCATGTAGTACACTTGGTCCACTTTGTAGTGGGCTTTAAAGTACGCCAGTGGCTTGCGATCGCCGCACCAGAGCTCCCAGTCGTCGCTCAAGCGCGGGACAAAGAGCACCGCCTGCCGACTGGTCAAGTCCACGAGTCCAGCGCATCCAGGCTCCCGCACGCCAAACACGTACTGGAAAAAGCTCTCTTGGTGAAAGTTATACTGAATGTCCGTATCGTAGCGATCGACGTCGACGCCGCCGTGCATCAGCAGCACCGACGCGCGCGTCTGTGCAGTGGGCCACGTCTCGAGAAAAGCGTCGACGAGCGACTGGCGGATCTGCACGTGCATGACAAAGTCAATGGGGTACAGTTCGTACGCTTGGGACGGGTCCGTCGCGTCGGGCCGCAAGAGTCCGTGCGGGCGATGGGGCGCACTCGGCCGCCGCGGGACAGCGCGTGGGTCGGCCGGTGCGCTGTACAGCGACGCACGCTGCTTCTGCAGGAGCGCGAGGGCGGCCATAGCGGCAGTGGCTGTTGCAGCAGAGACGAAGCCGCTGACGGCGGACGAAGACGAGGAGCTCATGGCGACGACGCGTTTTGGGTCAATTGAGTCACCACTCACAGTGAGTGAGGCAGTTTTGAGCAAATGGGTACTGTTTGGTGTGAGCGAATGGGAACGAGGAGAATGTGGTGTGGTTCGGACGGGACAAACGCGCGAGGGAGCTTGCCTCTCGTATTTGGACTTGCGTGGTTGGTGTGGTGTCGCCTCGGCTAGTGCGATTGACGACTATATATGGTGCACGGTCCAGACGCTGCTATTAGGACGCGGGTGAGAGGCCAATGGCACACTCTACCACGATGTCCAAACGACATCTAACTTGAGAGTTAGTATAGACAGGGACCGCGGGAACATTAGCGTAACATGGATTCTCGAAACATGACAAAATGCGGTGGCGTTATGATCCGGAATCCCGGATTTGATCGTCAGCTTCCTGCGGCACACAGACTTGCGGACCTTCAGAGGGAGAAGTCGAAATCCGTGTGGTTCTTGTATATGTTTGATGGTCTCGTCGCATACCCGTCGGTCGGGTTTGCATACTTGCTTCGTCAAGATCTCGGGATGTCTTGCCTTGCTTGTTGTTCGAGGATCGTGTCTTCGTCGTCGCACGGGGACATCCGAGCGACGATCTGGTTATTATTGCGATCCTCCAAGTAGATCACTACGGTCCTGTTACCAGATCGCAATCAGGCACGCGATCTACTGCTAGCTTGCCTTCTAGTCGATCGATCAGTCTCGTATAAATTTGATCCACTCGAATCAGTCTTGTAGTGTCTGACCACGATACTTTGGCCGCTTGAGCCTTAGCGAATTCGTACGCCCAGTCGTTTTCTTGCCCGATGCGTCCAACAGCAGTTTCATGGGCGCTTGAGACCATTTGTCGATACGTCCTCGCATGCTTAATCTGCTATTGCTTTGACACCGGTACGACGCTTTACGTTGGAAGGTAAGGGGGATGGCGCTTGGGCTCTTCTGATGCCTTCCCTCGGCTCCATTTGTGCGCTTGAGTGCCAATCGGAAAGTGGCTGCCTCACGTCGGGGGGGGGGGTTCGTGGTGACAGATGACATGGGTTTCGATCAACGAAGCCAGGACAATATGGATGTGCGTGTGCATATCTTGAATAGCTGCAACGCGAAAAGTGGCATCCCCGCTTGTGCGTTAAGCGTATTCTGTCATTGACATACATGTGTCCTTGATCCCGAAGCGGGGGTGCTTACAGACTGTGTGATGAACCAGACACGTTTGACCAGTAGAAACGCTCGGGAAATACGGCGTTAACAAAGACCACACAGTGTTGCAGTGAAGAGGTAGACATGTCGCAAGGCATTCGTTCGCACGTGCACCTCTTGCTGACGAACGATAGCAAGAGGCAACGAGACGTCAGACGGTTTCGCATTGCTTGCTAGGATTCGAGACAAGTACGTCATATTGCGTCGATCCAGATGCTATGGTTCAGGCGGGTTTCGCCCTATAACTACTCAAGTCTTAGCCAGATTGCTGGACAGAGGCGATGAGCTCGTTTGATACTGATGTTCATCAAGCATCCATCAAACGCTCAAATATAACCCACCACGATACCCCAGTCAATTGCAATTTGCTTTCGTTTGAGCGAGCGTCTTTTCCAATCAGCGTGACGAATGCACATTTCTTGGCCTACATGCTCCCTCCCCATCTTCCAAATGGGGGCGGTCGAAACGGGTTTATATGAAAGACAAGAGCAGCGCAGCGGAGACGATTTCAGTTCCTTGTATTCCTGCGCATAATCAAGGGTAGCAGCCATCCACTGGGCTGACGTCTCGCGTTGAAAAGAGACCTCCTAGCCAGGCGGTTCTAGTACGATTTGACTGTTCCGGCAAACGAGCCCCATACAACAGCGGACAGATAAACGCTGACGCAAGTCGTCGGCTTCGTGGTGATTGAAGCGGCGTTCGTTTGAATCGCTTGCTTCTTTCCATTGTCTAGCAAGCTGCTTGGCGCGTAGAAGTTAAAGTAGGACTGACCGTTTGCGAGTACAGCTCTCTCTTGGCACTTTGCATATGGACTCTTTCGCGCAGCCTGATCGGTGATTAGTCAGCAACGACTCTTAAGCAAGGCGGAACAGTCGTTGCTGATCATGACGGATGTTACAGAGCAAGACGGCTTTCTGTCGAGCGATATTAGCTACAGTTCCATACACATTCGATATCGTGTAGCGAAGCTACACTTGCTGCTTGCACGTCGATTGGACTGGCGCTCTTGGACACAGATGACATCGTTGTATTTTTGCGCTACGAGGGCGGGCTTGAGGATTCGTAACATAACGATAAGGCCCTGATCACGGATGTGCGTCTCATGGCGTTTTCATTTCGACACTATTGTGCCGTTTTCGCGCAAACAAAGTACCCTCTTCATGACGCTGACATTCGCAGAATTTGCGGATTAGCTCAGATAAGACACATTGCTCGTGACAATGTATGAGGACATAACTGAAACATGACTGCACGGACTATTTCCGAGGGTGGCGTTTGTGGTGGCCGTTCGTTTGTTTTGCTCACAACTTGACAAACTTTGGCGTAAGTGACGGCATGAACCGGCTGTTTTAGACAAGTCGTTGCTCGGCGTGGCATTGGCGATGCATGGATCAAGACGAAAGGTGAGGATGCATCGTGAAGACTTTACCCAACTTACTTTACATCAAGAACCACGCGCTGTCATAGCAACATTGACTTATCACTGAAAAGAAAGTAGCAACCTGGAAGCTTCTACAAGCTTCACGATGAAACTCTTTCACGTTCACTACTGTCTTTGTGAAGCTTATTAAGCCAAGAAGACCAATGGGATAATCTATGCTACGACGGCTACTTCAATTGCTGACGCGACACGGACGAAACACTTCCGAGTTTCAATGCGTATGACATCACCTCCATGATCTTCAATACATGTTGTATTAGTGAGATGCGGTGAAGTGACATGCGCTGAAGTGACATGCGGTAGCTGTTGTCGAATAGAAGCACTACCACTGAAGAAACACAAAGACAAAAAGGCAATAAAACACGAGAAAGTCTGGTAAGCAATGACGATTTCGTTGCATTTAGGCTAAGTTGTCGTCCGTCGCTATAGCCAGCACTTGGCTCGTGGGTTGCGCAGCGACGAATGCTGTCCGAGGATCTCATGCCGGCGTTGCACGAATGAGACAATTCCCCGTGGTGTGCCGCAGTGGTTGGTCGAGCAGTTTGCCTAGTATATGCCCCTGCAGGCGTTGACGCAGCATGTTCCATAATTCACGCGAGGAAAATTGTATTCTGATCTGCACTTCTTGTATTACGTTAGTACGGGAATCTGTCACACCAATGCATTACCGCTGGGACTTGCATTCAAGAGGAGGTATCACCACATTGTTAGAGGCAGAGACGGTGATAGCGGTAATGATGAAGAAGCCGATGACTTTGATGTTCATGTTGCTTGAAGGTGGGCTCGATGCTTTGTGCCTGGTTTGGCGAAAGGCGGAAGGAATAGCGTGAAGGCCATGTTTGAGAGCTAGTGCCACGCACGCAGTCGAGATCTAGCGACAGGATGGGGAACGTCGATACAGCCATTTTTTCGTATAAGTCATAACTCATATAACTCATACAAATTGAGTTCCACCATGCCCGTTCTATGGTCGCCAACCCATGACTCGAAACTCATATTATAGGGCTTCGATGAGTTTTCCGGGGGACAAAGATCATGCAAGAATCCTCTTTAGCAAAGAAAATCATATTCCTGTATGAATTATACGCATTTGAAGAAGACGAAGTGTCTGAGTAATCTTATCTAGTGAAGTCAAGAATCGAGGGTGCTCTGAGTGATGGTATTCATATGAATGAACATCTGAAGCTCACGAATAGGTCTATGAAAAACCCTGTCATCCGGGATCGACAAATCAAGGATGTAAGCAGTAACATCTATGGACTTGATCTTTTCTTCCTTGCTGGTCTCCACCAATTAGATTTGCTCCTCCTCCTATTCCCCCTCCTCTTCAGCCTCCTGTACCATCCAGATAATCTCACTGTGATTCAACTTCACGTGTGATGCTTCATCCTCCTCTGCTGAATTTATCAGATTGGAAGTTGCCATAAGGTTCCTGAGAGGAAGAATATTAATGGCACCCTGCAAATAGCGCTCAACCATATGCTCATCCTGATCAGACACAGAAGGCAAAAGCGAGGATACAAATAGCCCAGTGTGGACAAAAACAGTTTGCCACAGTTGCAGATGAAATCGCCTCCCACGCTGCCACACTCCATTCCAGGGCGGTCAACTGGTCGAACTTGTAGATGTTAACATCGCCGCGTTCGTCGCGGTTCACAGCATTCTGAAGATGAAGACGCCTGTAGTGGCGCTTAAAAGCAGCGATGATTCCGGCATCCATGGGCTACATTTTTGCGGTACAGTTGGAAGGCAGAAACTGCACGTGAACATTCTCCAGCTCCAGATCATTGGTAGTATGAGATGATGCATTATCTAGCAAAAGCAAGACCTTTCTCTTGCGGACCTAGGAATGATACTGCTATGTTAAAAGCGTATCAAAGTGGCCTGATAAATCTGTATAAAATTTAAAAAAACATAGTTTGCTTACCTTCATGTCGGTGTCAAATATCTTCAACCACTCCTGAAACAGAGCACCTGTCATCCAGGCCTTCTTGTTTTTCTTGTGGTAGAATCCGAGCTGCTCTCCGGACTTGCGCTTAAAACAGCGAGGTTTTTTGCTTTCCCAATGAAAAAGACTTAAGCTTTTCAGTACCATCCGCATTGGCCGTGAAGGCAATAGAGATCCGTGCCTGAATAAAAAATGTTATTGAACTGGAAATTCCAAGTTTTAAAGCTTTTTACAGGAATCGATTCAAGGTCGACCTTCTCTTTCTTCAAACCCTCAATTTCTTGCTGCGCAACTGTCTTCTATGGAACCACGTTGTAGAATAGGCCTAAATTAGCAACATACTGTATATGTTCAACATTAGACTAAATTTATATTTATCAAATCTAGACATACCAGTTTCGCCCA